ATATTTTTCAAAATAAATTATTTTTTAGTTACAATATCGATGACAAAGAGTTCATAAAATTAAAATATGTATTTAAAGATATTGACAATGAATTTGTTGTCAATTCATTTTTGAATGAATATATAAAACCATTGAAATGGTTTGATCGTAAAGTCTATGAAAAAAAGTCAAAAGCTTATAATGAAATGCGTGAATTGATTTTGAAAAAATTCAAAACACATTACATTGATTATAATCCTGATTTTGAACGAGATTTATGCGATGCACTTATTGATGCTAAAAATGTTGCCGTAAGGGATGGCCGCCAATCGGCTACATATCTAACCGATGATCGACTGGCGATGTGTGTGTTTGAAATGTTTTTCGGCGGAATCAAGACATCGGAGATAACATTTCAATGGATTTTACTATTGATGGCCTATTATCCAGAAATGCAGATCAGATTGAAACAGGAAATTGAATCGAAAATCGGTAACCGATTGCCCGGACATCAGGACAGACAACAGTGTCCATATGTGATGGCATTTATAGCCGAAACGTTAAGATTTAGAAATGTTTCGCCATATGCTTTGGCCCACAAATCAATGGTCGACAGCAAAATAGGTATACATAATAATAATAATAATTTAATTTTTGATTTTTTATATGAATTAAATAAAATAAAATTGTTTTTAGAAAACTATACGATACCTAAAGGTATGATTTTGTATGCATATCAGGGAATTATATTGAGAAACAATTTGGACACAAAATATTGGACGACCGCTAATGTCGATGACTTTATACCCGACCGTTTCATCGACACTACTGACGGTACTTATAGGACGACCGGTTTTCCTGCATTCATACCGTTCGGTGTCGGACGTCGTCAATGTTTAGGCGAAAGTTTAGCCATCGCTCAGCTGTTTCTAGTATTGGTCCGATTTATACAATCGACACAACAGTATGATATAGTTTTGGACAGTCATCAGGGTTTGGATGCCGACCCAAACAACTCAATAGTAATTAGTCCTAAAAATTATACGATTGTATTGAAGAGTAAAATTTAAAATGTAATAAACGTTATTATGTAATATTTTTTTTACCTATTATCATATTTAAAAATTTAAAAATTTAAAAATTAAAACTTTATTATTATTATTCAATTAAAATTAAAATTATTACTTTAAAAAAATTATTTGTTATTTTATATAATTTAAAATATTCAAATTTGTAAAATAATAAATGAATTTAAATGTATTGTAATTTAAAAACATTTAAAACATTTATTCAGTAATAAAAAAAAAGTTTTTTAGTATTTAATATATGATTATTCAATTAAAAATAAACAAATATAACAAATTAATTAAATAATAGTTAATTAAATAAACTGTATAATTAAGATTAATTATACTGTATATTATATAAAATAATAGATTAATTCTCTAATATAAATGATTTTATTTAAAAGGATTTTTTAAATATATTATTAGCATTAATCAACAAATTATAAATTAAATAACTATAACATATATTTTAATTAATTAAGAGAGAGAGAGAGAGAGAGAGAGAGTTAAAATAAAATAAATATTTAAAAATATTAATAAATTACTGTATTATCAATTAAAATCAAATGTTTTTGATATTATTATAAATATTATTTAAAATTAATTATATTAGTTTTAAGTTTAATATTTCAATAATTATAACTAATTAATTGAAACAAAAATATTAATATATATATATTGCTTGTAATGGTTTGTATGTAAATTACAAGCAAATTATTATTAGCAAACAAATTACAAGTTGTATTCAATATAATTATTTCAATTTTACAACATATTAATAATTGACAAAAACATTAAAAACCAGTTGAGAATGCTAGAAAGCATTTCCACACGAATTCCTAATCATAATAAAAAATTAAATTCAGTATGATAAAATAAAATCAACTATAGTTATGTAGGGTATCAAACGATTTAGTATGACAAAATAAACAACTATAGTCATGTGGGGTATCAAATGATTCAGTATTACAAAATAAACTACTATTTTCCTAAAAAATAAACTTAAAAACTTAAAAAATTAAAAATTAATATTCAAAAAATTCAAAAAAAATTCAAAATTGTTTTAATTAATTTTTGGACACCATTTTCTTCAATTTCCTAAAAAATAAACTTAAATAAAAAAAAACAAAAAAAATTCAAAAAAAAATATTAAAAAAAACAAAAAAAAGCGTAGCTGAGCCTGGATTCGAACCTATGTCCTCGTGGGACAGACAGACAGACCGACAGACAGACAGACAGACCGACAGACCGACAGACCGACAGACAGACCGACAGACAGACCGACAGACAGACCGACAGACAGACCGACAGACCGACAGACAGACCGACAGACAGACCGACAGACAGACCGACAGACAGACCGACAGACAGACCGACAGACAGACCGACAGACAGACCGACAGACAGACCGACAGACAGACCGACAGACAGACCGACAGACAGACCGACAGACAGACCGACAGACAGACCGACAGACCGACTTATAGATTTCATATACGTATTCCTTTCAGGAATTCGTGAAAATGTGATATTGTTTTAAAAAGAGAAAGAAAGAAAGAGAGAGAGAGAGAGAGAGAGAGTTATAATAAAATAAAATAAATATCTAATAATAATTTTCTGTACTATCAATATGTAAGATCAATAAATTTGATAAATATATAATTTAATATTATTAGTAGAAAAAAAATTTTTTAAATAATAAATATTAATTTAATTATATTATATGTTTTAAGTCTAAATTTTCAACAACAAAAAATTAACTATTCATTAAAACATTTAAAATTTTGTATATATATATTGCTTGTAATGATATACTTGTAAATTACAAGCAAACAATTATAAGCAAATAATTATTAAGCAAACTATTATTAAGTAAACAATTAATAGTTGTATTCAATATAATTTTAAGCAAATTTTAAAACATATTAGTACATAATTTATACATATTAGTATATAATTAATATATATATATCAGGGTTTAGTAGAGAGGGAGTGTTAGGGGGTAAAGCCAAACTACCCCAACTAATATCGAGATTTTGGTTGATACTATTTTAGTAAACGTTATTGTGTTTTTAAAATTTATTTAAATCTAATAATTAATAATAAGTAAAATATTTAAAATCACATTTAAAACTCCATCTAAAAATAACATTATTTTACTTAAAATATTCAACTAAAAAAATTATCTATTTGTCAAAAAAAACAGTAATCTTATTACAATTTAAATTAAAAGGTTAAGATAAATAAATTTAAAGTAAAACAATAGATACTTATAATATTGTTTTATTAATTATTTTTACAATTTTAATTCAAATTTTAATATTACTTATTTTATGATTTTTCTTAGCATACATTTTATATTATAATAGATATAAAATTTATATACAGTACATATTTTTGGTATACATTGTTAATTATACTAAATTTTTAATATATTTTTATATATATATATAATATTACTATACTTTGTAAAACTTAATTTCATTGATAATTTAAATTATTTGAAAATTTAAAATTACGACTGGCAAATATTAAATATATTTTTATGTTTAATAATTTATAATATTATCGAGCAATTTATATATATATATATATATCAACTCATAGTGTATATTTAATGTTTTCAATTTTCAATTTTAAATACATTATTTTATTTTTTTTTATTAATTTTTAAAATAAAATTGTTTTATATTTTTGGAAAATTTACTTATTTTCCGTGGAATTTATACAGGAACTTATGGGAACTTTATGGAATTTATATGGTAATATTCTGTAATTTTTAGGGAAATTTCTCATGACCCAACCCTTGATTTTGGATTTTTAAAAAACTCACCCTAGACCCCCCCCACCAAGATTTTTCGAGAATTTTGTAAATTTCTCACCAGCCAATCCCCTCCCCTCCTAAAATACAAAAACCTTGCTTAACCCTGATATATAAATATATATATATATAAGTAATTGAGTACATAATCATCATTTGAGTGTTTATGTGTTAATATCTTAACAATTGTTTTACTAGAAATTATATATTATTAATTTAGTTATATATTATTAATTTAGTTATATATTATTAATTTAGTTATATATTATTAATTTAGTTATATATTATTAATTTAGTTATATATTATTAATTTAGTTATATATTATTAATTTAGTTATATATTATTAATTTAGTTATATATTATTAATTTAGTTATATATTATTATATATTAATTTAGTAGTAGTAGTAGTAGTATAGTATACAGATATATATATATATAATTATTTTTAAAATTTTATTAAATATTTTAATTGTTAAAAAATATTATATTAATAATTATTATATATCTTAAAATTAACATGTAAGTTTAAAGAAAGTTCTTTTAATTAATATATATATATATATATATATATAATATTTAATTAATTAATTAATTTTTTCATTATTATAATACTTATTTTTTTTTAAAAAAATAGGTCTGAATTTGAACGACCATTATATGTGTCCATAATTGCCGATGAATTACCTGAATATCGCAAACATTTTCAGTCGATTGTCCGTAAATTAGTTGATTCAATGATTGGCAACGACAATGATATCAGTGAATTGAGGCCACGATTGGATCAATTGTTTGATTATTTCTATGTTCAACACCCGAGACTCAAATACGGACAACGATTTTTGCTAAGCTATCGTATACTAACCGGTGAACAACATAGCGGTCAACAACAACAACAACTAGAGTCCGGTGCCGGCAATGATGGTAATACTCAACAGTCAATAGTTGTCGACAATGAATCGGTATATGCATTGGCAGTGGCCGTTGAATTAATAACAATGAGTTTGATTTTATTGGATGATATTATGGATAAATCAACACTTAGATATGGTCTACCCAGTTGGTATACATTGGTATAGTTGATTTATAATTAATTAATTAGTTTTATTTAGTTTTATTTAGTTTTATTTAGTTTTATTTAGTTTTATTTAGTTTCATTTAGTTTTATTTAGTTTTATTTAGTTTTATTATTGATTTTTTTTAATTAATTTAATTAGTTTTTAATTAGCCATCAGTAGGAATGTCGGCACTAAACGATAGCACAGTTATGTTGTCAGTGTCCAACAAAATTGTTTTCAAATATTACCATGGTCATCCTAATTATATTCAAATTGTTCAATGCTTTAAGAGGTTAGTATAATACTGTATATACTTAAAACTATATAGATTATTAATATATATATATATATATCAGGGTTAAGCAAGGTTTTGGATTTTAAAGGGAGTTGGTAGGCTGGGGTGAAATTCCCAAAAAATCTTGGGCGGGGGGTCTAGGGTGGGGTATAGACTTTTATTGCAATTTTTAAACGGAAATTTTTCCAATTTAGACAAAACGTCTAGGGGTAAAATACCAAAATCTCGATCTTAGGGTGTATTTTAGCGTTACCCACTACCAACACCTTACTTATCCCTGATATATATATATATATATATATATATATATATATATACTGTATATACTTTATATATACATATAAATTTATATATATCGATATATATATATATATATATATACTTTATATATACATATAAATTTATATATATCGATATATATATATATATATATATATATATATATACTTTATATATACATATAAATTTATATATATCGATATATATATATATATATATACTTTATATATACATATAAATTTATATATATCGATATATATATATATATATATATATATATATATATATACTTTATATATACATATAAATTTATATATATCGATATATATATATATATATATACTTTATATATACATATAAATTTATATATATCGATATATATATATATATAGTTCATTGAAAAAATATCAATGGGTCAGTCATTGGATATGATGTACAGTCTATCGACAAAACAAAACAAAAATCTAAAATTAACTGATTTCAACATGGCTATATTTGATAAACTAAACAAGTACAAAAACGCATTTTCAGTCTATGTCTATCAATTTAAACTAGGTAATAAATGTTTTGTTGTTTATTTTTAACCCATAGCAACCAACCAAGAAAAAAATTAATTATTAATAATTAATAATTTTTGTTTATAATACATAAAAATATTACTAATTTGTTTTGTTTTGTTTTAAAGCAATTATTTTGGCCGACAAACAACAATATGACAATAAATTTGTTGAAACTATTGAAAACTTTTTGATAGGTATGGGTATATTGTCCGGTGCTTTGAACGACTATCAAGATTACTATGAACAGGGCTTAGATATACAAGAGGGTAAATGTACCTGGCTCATTTGTCGGTCAATGCAATTGGCCGACGATAGACAACTGGCCCAACTTGTGGACAATTATGGACACAAAAATGCCGATCGGGTTCAACAAATTTGTCGGGTATTCGATGAGTTGGATATGAAATCGGAAGTTAGAAAATTTGCGGACAATATGTTCAATAAGTATCAACAGTTGGCGGCCATTGATTCGGGCAATGATTTACTGGTCAAACAAATTGTCGACAATATTTCATACGAAGTTAGATATTATGCTAAAATTTGTCACATTTATGATTAGATTTTAATAATTAAATGTACATTGGTTAATTTATTAATTAACTAGTGTTCATTTAATTAATTAGATTATTACATGATTTATTTTAAGAGGTTTTTCATTTTTTTTATTATTAATATTATTTATTAATAAAATTGATTTTAAATAAACAAAATAAGTATTTAATTTTCTCATAAATATAGAAATATTTAAATTTAACATACACATACACATACACATACACATACACATACACATACACATACACATACACATACACATACACATACACATACACATACACATACACATACACATACACATACACATACACATACACATACACATACACATACACATTAATTATAAAAATTAAAATATTTGTTTTTTATAAAAAAAATCTTTCTATAAACTTACATGTTCATTTTTAGATATTTAATAATTATTATATTTTTTAAAACAATTAATATAATTAATAAAAAATTTTAAAAATATATCTGTACTACTACTAATAATAATTAATAAAAGTATTATATTAATGAAATAATTGATTAATTAATTAAATATTAGTAATATTAAAATATTTTTATTTTTTAAATCTTTCTATAAACTTACATGTTTAATAACTTATTTATTTTAGTTAGTAACAATTAAATAACATTTTATATAATTAATAAAATTTTTTAAAATAATTAGATATATATACAGTATATATATATATACTACTACTAATACTACTACTACTACTACTTTATTATATTGAATAAACATTGAAACAATTATAAGCAATATATTTTGATAATTTATGTTTCAATGAATAGTCATATTTTTTTTTGAAAATTTACATTTAAAACTATACAAGTGAGAATGCTATAAAGCATTGCCAGAAACAAACTTTGATGAGATA